CAAATTACGGGAACTACAGTGAGTGTTTCAATCAGATAAATTATGTAAGATCTGGATTCAATTGCCTTGCCTTTCATGACTTTTAAACACTGGTTGAGGTGTAACAATACATTGCACCTTTCATTTTGAGAGCTCAAAGAGCTTAAATAGTGTTTACATGCCACTAAGAGCAGAGAAGGGGATAACCTAGGGAGACCAAGAGACGGGAAACATGTGAAGTGCTGTAGGGACCGGACAGAAAGCCCTGATGTGCAGCCTGTGTTCTCCCGACTGGGAACACTCCATCCCTTGCAGTTCTGTGCTTCTAAGGCTGAAACAATGCAGAGAAGAGAGAAGAAAATTTCAGGTAATCACAAGTAATAGGAACTCTGTTCTGAAGGGGACAGGTAACCCAAGAAAGGTGAGTATGTATGAAGACAGAGACTGGAAAAGACACATAAAGAATTAGGAGGAAAACGGCAATTAGTAAGAAGAGGTTATATCAAATGCCTTCGAAAATTATGAGTGAACAAACAGTAACTACATTACAATGTAATAACAGGGGATAACACAAGAGATATGACACTAGCCCTAAATATGCAAACTCTGGATCCATATGAACCACAGAGGCTGACTTTGATTTGGGCTGGGTTAACAAGAAGCAGTGTCCAAAAAGGAGAGAATTGTGCTGGCAGATGGTTCATTGTCCTCCTCCTATTATTCCCTGTGCTTTTGATTTGTACAACACTATCTGGAACTGAAGTAACTAATTAAAGTCAGTTAGATACAATGTATGCCCCAATGCGAGAGGAAGCAAGAGGACAGGTTTACTCCATAGTATTTCAAATAGTAACCTTATTTCTAAGATTCTTATTTCTAAGAATCAGAAGATAAAAAGCTTTCGTGATGTTATGCTCGTAGATATACATACGTTTTGATCATTATCAGAAATGGTTTGTGTAGGTACAGCAGGTGGAACTTTCATCGCTTTTGAAATACACAATACTGAAACACGCAAACACATCACAGGGAAAAAAAAAGAAGATGTACAGTTGAATACAAGGGCAGATCTCTGCAAAAGCTATTTCATACACAGTGTCACACAGCAATCAAGGATCCTGCCAACTCTTGAAGTGACAATAAGCTACCACAGAGACAACACAATCTGCTCATAGATTCGTTTCCTTTCCTCCTAAAGCCCAGTGCTACTTTAGAAAACAAAACTGCTGTGTAGCGAACTTAATCAAACGCTACTGGTCAGATTATTTTTGTTGTTCTTTTTTCGTCCTGTTCCTACTAAGAATGGGAGCCTCCAGTGACCTAAGGCTGGCAAGTACCATTGGCTCCTTAGGTGGTCACAGCGGGCAGATGCAGCCAAAAAGAAAATGATCATCAGAATTTTACTGTTGCCACTGAAAATGACAGTATTTCCCTTTTCTAAACAGAAGAGAGAGAGAATTAGTCACAGCCTGTTCCTCCAATTTCTCTTTCAAGAAAAACCTTTTTTAGTCTCAAATTCTAAAGCTGTAGGGAGAGAGCTGAGCAAGGGGGAGGTTTATTATTATTTTGGTGCATTGCATTAAATGGAAGGAAGAAAAACGCAGGAAAGAGTATCTATTGCAGTCTGAGGCTTAAACATATCTGGTAGTATATTCAACAGCTTTGCCTGTCTCACAGCCCTGGGCAAAAACATGCCCCTTTCCCTGCTGTTCCTTCATTTCATGCTATAATGCTTCCAATTCTCCTTTCAAAAAGAATTATGTACATTATCTACCTGTTGCACAGAATCTCCTTCCTATGGCCACTCATAACCTTTGCAGATGTTGCTCCGTAATTATCAGTAAAAGCTTGAGTCATTTGGTTCAGGGAGGAAATAGCATCTGGGAAAAGTACCTCGATGATGAATTAAAAACAGAAGGCACGTTCTTCTTGCTAAATACTATCTAAAAGGATGGTGGGGAGCTGAAATGAAAACTGAAGGAAACAATATGCAGGACAAAGTTTTCTAGATTTGATTTTTTTTTTTTTTTTTACTATGCTGCGTAGTTTTGTCTTCACGGTTTCATTTAATTAATCAACTCCAGTTCTATTTAGCCCATCTGCATCTCTGAATGTGTCCTCTTGACATTACCTTCTTGATGTTCCTCTGCCATTTCAAACTGATGAAACATCTCAGCTTTTCTTCCCCATTCCAAAGCACTTCCCTTTCTTCTCTTAATTTACTGAACAATCACGGTTTTTTTCTCATGCCAGGTCCTTCCTGACAGTCCCCTTTACGATACTTTGTAGAAATAAAATGAAGGTGGGAAACACACAGATTGCTTCAGGACAACCTCAGAATTTTATGACTTCAGAACTGGTCCTTTCCCTGATCTCAAAGTATTAAGCTCACCTAAGTTTAACTACGCATGGGTGTGTGATCCTGACAGCGGCTGAGTACCTCTGCTCCCGCAGAGCTCACGCTTTCTGTGCATCCTCATCACTTCTCAAAGGTCAAAGACCAGGTCAGGATAAAATCCCTCACGTTGCTTCCTAAACCAACCCCTCATATTCACCGAGCTTTCCCCCACAGAACCATTTTTCTGACCATTGACACGTACTAAATGTATTAAACAAGCTACACGAGAATATCAGGATCCCGAAACAAGAATCCTTTGAGAAAAAGAGATGCACATTTACAGAAGGATATAAAATAAAAATTCTTTTCTCATACACTGAGCAAAAGATGTGAAAACTAGACAGGGAGAATCCCACAGCCAGCAAGGACACTGACAAGTTACTAAGCATTGTCATCCCGGTGGGATCGTCGTGCAGGCTCATCCCTGGATAACACAAAGCACTGCTCAATAGTCTGACTTTGAACGATGAAGATTCATACCTCATGGACTTTTCTGCACAGAGACATGCTGCATTAAATCCTGGGATGAAACATATTCCTCAAAATGAAAACATGGAAAATTCCTGCTCAATGCCAAGCCTGAAGCAGCCATGATTCAAAGGGACAACTTCAGCAGAACAGGTGCCAAGGAGGTCTGTTCTCCGGATTGATTTACAAACTAAGATTCTTCTCAACCATTAGACGTTCCCCGTTTCATGTGAGCGGACAGTGAGTTGAGTTCAATGGATCTCACTGCCATCTGGAAACTCTACAGGCAAGGATATCTTCTCTATTGAGTTTTCGAATAGAATTAGTTTTCATCCAGCTGAAATCTTTGTTCTGAAGCTGTACAATCCCTGCTCTCCTCCTTCGTAAGTCAGGTTTATGCCTTTTCCATGTGGTTTTGATATACTCGTAGAACTGGAGACCAAGGAAAAAACAGCCTAATGCCTGAAGGAAAGGACCCCCAAGACAAGAACTCACACAAAATATTATTCTGAACATCACCAGGTACTGTGTTCTGCATTGTTGCTCTTCTTAGCTATGACCTTTCATAAACGATATCAGATGGTGCTTGCCTTATCCAATAGCCCGCACCATTGCTCAAGGCATGCATGCACATACATAACATTAATTTCTCTAGCCTATTAATAAAAGCAGAAGAAAATAACAATGGCAAATTGGGTACAGATTTATACTGATCTCTTTCTGCAGTCTACTTTCCTTTCTAAATTATATTTATGCATTTTCATTTCCAGGTTCTTTAAATATGAATATTACTGACTAATTGTCTTCTTACTATGATGGACACAATCCAAAAACCTAGATAAAGTATGTCATAATTTCAGTTCTGGTTATAAATTTTGTGGCTTGAGTCACAAGTGATTGAAGACTTTAACAAGCATGCCCAAGAAAACCTGACTGCAAATGAAGTTATCTTTATTTTATTTTCCCCATAAAGAGAAGGTTTAGCTCCGCATATTGCTCGCAGAGATACACAAAGCACAACGGCTTGTTTTGGGCTGCTGCCATTCAGTTTCATGCTGCATCCCCATCTAGAGTCATTAATCTTTTACCACCAGGAACACAATTAATCATGCTAGGTTTTTTTTCAGAGGAAAAAGACAAAAATCATAGTAATTTTTATAGAAAACACTACAAGGTACTCCATCAATAATAGTAATTTTTCTTCTCAGTACACACTAATAGATTAGCTCACTGAAACCTGCTTGTCTTTACAGTATACAAAAATGCAGTAATCTAAAATACATATAACCAACAGAAAAAACACACGAAGAAGCAGTCTGCTTAGTTGTGCTGTATAAGGCAATAAATGTCCTTTTACTGATAGCTGGACCATAAATAAAGAACGGATACGGTTGAGAAAAAGGTGTTTATGTTACTTTGGAGGTTATTTTCAGGTGGAAACATTTTTCCACCTAGCTCACAACACAAAATCTTTGCCTAAACTATGATGCAAGTTTTGATTCAAAACTTACTAAAACCAAAAATCTTACCAACTTCGCTGGCAGTTTTGCTTGAACTACTGCATGTTGCTTGTGGATATAAAAAAAATCTGTGAAAGTATGTGAATCGGTGCCATCCCCTCACCTCCTGCTTCGCTCGCATCCTAGGTCAGAAATGCCCATTGCCAGCTGTATGAAAATCTCACTCATACTGTTCTCAGCCTTTGAGGTCTGAGAACTTACTTGAGCTCAGCTCTCATTACGGTCAATAAAAGTTCTGCCTGAATAAAAATGACGATCCATCCACCTTCCACCCCTTCAAAAGATGATATTTGCCACATGGATTCATATATATCTTCATTGCTCTTCAGACATTTTATAACCTAGTAACTCTTTTAGCATTAAATGTCACAAGCTTTTCTCTTTTCTTTGTTTTTAAGAGACACGCAGAAGACAGCTACAGACTGCCCCCTTTTTTTGTTCCTTTTTTTTTTTTTTTAAATCCATAAGGTAATTGGCTTTCTGGAGAACTAACTGAATTTTCCAAATTTAATTTTAAAAGATGCTCCATAATATCCATTTATAGCAAACACTGTCCTGCAGATTTGATTAGTAGGCTCTCTGGACCTGCTTATTTCTGAATTGAAAGTGCAGTACAGCTTGGATAAATGAATTACCTGAGCAGCGGAACTTCTTGCTCTTGATCTGGCTGATTCGTTTGTTGGCAAGGCGACGCGGATTGCTGCATCGAGCGCCGCTGGTTTCTATCGGATTATCCTGCAGGTAATCAGCCAGCCACTTCAAATGGCAGTCGCACACAAATGGATTCTGAGCTAAATGTCTGCGAGAAGGATGGGATGTTTAATCAGAAGCGACCTGTGACACTGTACTCCATCACTGTTTTTCACAAACGCAAACCTGAAGAGTAGAGTAATTGAATAAGCTTCCAAAAACCCAGGCCTGGCGGAAACCACACGGAGCTGCACATGAATGGGAGAATTCTGTGAGCTATCACATTTCGTAGCTCATTAAGCCTGCTGCAAGTCCTTTCACAGAAGAAACAAAAATTAGTATAGCAAAGCCTGCTTTAAAGGACACAGACCTTCTGTCTACAAAGTCCAATGTTCTCTCCTGAGAGCTCGATATGCTGCCTTTTGAGTGAAACGCACCTTCTTAGATGCACCTGACCCGAACACCGGTTTGTATCCTGGTTTAAAATAAATTTTATTGGCAAGCTCAGTTTCCTAGGGATCAAAATGTGAATTAGTAAAGTGCCTTGGATCTGTAGGCAAAGCCAGAAGCGATCCAGAGGCCTCTTCTCAAGAGTGAAGTTGATATTTGCATATACTCATCATGCATAACAGCATTCCCCTAATAGTATGTATTTTTTCCTAGACCAAAAATTTGTACTTTTGAGACTGAACTGTTTATGCAAGGTAAGAACTTGACTCTATCCTTCACCAGAATTTGCACAACATATTTCCCACGCAACTGGAAACAGGTATCACAGCACTGATTTTAACTGGATATTTAGACTTTGTTAATAGAAATCTGCTGGAGTATCTTGGAGAGAAACAGTATTTCTCTGCTGCTGTTATGATTCATTCTGCTTGACAAAGTTGAGCACTATATCAGGAGAGTGCGTCAGGTCTTTCTCAGAGCCTGATTGATCTCAGTTAAGCTAACTTGCACCAGTCCCTCTAACTTCCAAGGGAGCAGGACATGGCTCTCCAATAACTGCAAAGACAGTTTAAAAAAAGACAGATGTTTAAATTTGGTTTAGACAGCAGTGTAAAGTTATAGCCTCACAAGAACTCTGCTCTGTTACTGTTCGTGTATCTTTTCCACCTGTAGAAACTTACTTTCTTTTCTGTTTGCAGTTATATTTATGAACTGTCACTTAACAGAATAAGTATAAAATACAACAGAGCAAGGGCTGTCAAGGAGTGGGAAGTGAAAGCATACATAGCAGAAAGTGCCTGAAGAAACTAAAGATTACTGTTGTAGAAGAGCTATTCCTGGTATGAAAGGTCCAAAGAACAAACAAGCATATAGACACAAGATAAGGGACGGGTTTCGTAGCTCTAGAAAAAAGGCAGAAAATGGCCATCACCTGGAGTACTAAAAATGGGAGAACGAATCAAAACATTTAACGAAAAAGTGTCTCAGTGTGAAGTGACAAGTCCATTCTAAGTAACGGCCACCAGGAGTACCAACAAAACCCCATGGAAACCAAGGAGAAATTTTTATACCTGAAGGGTGCTGCCTGTTGTTTAACTTGACAAATCTTACATACCTCTGTAAATGAACCTTCTCTGTCGTCCCTGCTTACATATGTAACTATGTACACATAGAGCATGTTGCAGCAGACGACAGCACGGCAGAGGTAGGGAGGCAGGGCTGGGCAGGGTCGTACGTGATTATTCTAATGCCTTAATGATTTGCAGCAATACATACTGGCCAGATATCTGTTAGAAATTAAGGTTGTGCTTGTGGCCACCTGAGGACGTAGCAGGTACCCTGCTGCTAGAAATCATCCCTAACAGTTCATTTTCATATGAATTAAAACATTTCCAAAACTAATTTAGCCACTGCATTTCCAGTATTAAAATATATATGTGCATGTGGACAGATACATTTCCAGTACTATAGTATGTGTATATATACACATATATGATGTACATATATATTCCAGTATGTGTATATCTACATAAACATACATATTTTAATACTGGAAATGCATATACTTACATACTACATAAACACATGGAGCCTTACATCTATATATGCACACACAAATATATATAAACACACATATGCAATATTGGGTGAGGGGGTTCTTCCTTGTTTTTCATTTATATCAGGCTGCCAACTCCAGCTCTGAAGGAGTACTATTTACTTTATTATCTTACTTCTCACAGCTTTAGGAGGAAACCTTCTTCCGTAAAATATCAAGTCATTTCTATACTTTTGCTTCCAATTTTGCTTCTGATCCCTCTTCTCCTAATGCCTCCAATGCAAAGACTCTCAGAAAATGTTTAGTGGATTTTCTTAATGGATCAAATAATGCAATGTATCATTTCCCTCGAGTGGAATGTCAGCTGAAATATGGTTTCAGGAGTCACGAACTGTACAGCAGGACTCAGAACCAGTAAGGAGAGATGCCAAGTCACTAGCTCGTTAAAAACTGCTAGGCAATGGTTTCAATAGAATCTGCTGTTCATATATTGTACAGAGTCAAATTTACATATTATCTTCCCAACAAACAGTATGAATTAATTACTCTGGGAGCTTAATACAGTTATGACATTTATGTCACTATGGGGAGGCTGTATCGATAGCTGGCTGTGCTGAATTTATGCAATACTTTTTCTTCTTGCTCCTTTTATTTGTCAGAAAAGGAGAGGCTATTACCTTGGGGTCTCTTCCAAATTGTCTTAATGTCAGATGCAAAACCTTTGCAAAGACAGGCAACATCTTTGGGGGAAAAAGAGCGCGCTGTCATTTATCATATGCGTGCATACTCACAGAGTCTGGATCGATCGGAGAGGTGCAAAGAGCCCCTTGCTGATGGTCTGCAGTTTGTTGTCATAAAGAGATAGCAGTTTGAGATTATGCAGACCTTGGAACGTGTTTACCCTCAGGCAGTTGATCTTATTGGCATTGAGAAGCCTGAAAACAGAGGAAAGGTTTATAATTCATTAATCTTGTAATAATCAAATAAAGATACACTGAACTTTGGGGTTAAATCTAAAAAAATATTAACCCAGCCACCAAAGCCAACCCACATTTAAAGGTCTTCATTTGCCCGTTATTAAAAAGGTGAAAAAACCACAGTCAACATTAGTACTCTCCTAGCTGGGGAATATACAGACATGTAACAGTGCTAGCTATCTTAAAATACTTAAAAGATTTTTTTTTTTGGTATGCCGAGCCCCCTGCCCCCATTTGTTCAAAATTCCACACAAATATTTAAAGAAGTCTTCAGCTTAATATACACAGAAATGGCAAATACTCCCCACCTTGCTACTGCATGCTACACAAAGTCCACAATGTGAAGAACCTTGTTTTTCAATTTTCTCTACCAGCAGCTGTCTTAAGTCTAACTGAAATTCTGGAAGTTTGACATCTTTTGATAAGCAGTGCAGGGTTAATTTGATCATGGAAGGGAGGAAAACGTGATTCTCCTCAGAGACAAGAAAAGAGAAGTGTAGGGTCTGGACTAGTCAAGCAGTGGAACAGGTTGCTCAGAGTTGTGCAGTCTCCATCGTCGGAGGTTTTTGAGATGATACCGGATGAGGCCGTGAGCAACCTGCTCTGACCTAATAAGGTGACTCTGCTTTGAGCAAGAGTTCTCCAGCCTCATCGGCTGGGGACCACCTGAGGTCCTTTCCAACCTCCGCTGTCCTACAGTTCCCTGAATCGACTCCATTCCAGTCACACCGGATTCTTATGCAGTTGTGGAAAAGCAGTAGAAAGGCAATTTACATATTTTTATATATCACACATCTACACAGCAGCCAGTTGGCAGAACTAATCAGTTCAGCCAGAAAATCTTGGACAGTATTTGTGCAAGTTCTCTTAGATTATCCAGCCAGAGTTCTGTCACGTATAACAAGAATATACAACCCTAACGGCAAGCTGGATCTCCCTCTGAGACAATCAAACACAAGAACACGTAAATTGTCACTGTCATCTGCATATGTGGTATTTTACACTTAGAAGGAAAACAGGCAGGAAATGACCTGTTCTTCTTACAAAAGCCAAAATCCACATCTTTTGACTACTATCAGCCTGAGAAAAATGGTACATTGCAAACAATACATGCTGGTAACTCAGTTCTCTTGGTCACAAAATTCTTGCTACTTTGTCAATGAGTTTGAAGGGCTTCATATTGCAACCTTGTGGCCCTCTATGAGGCACGACACTAACACTAAATCAGAAGACAAACGTGTTTATAGGCAAAAGGGAAAAGACATCCTCCATTCCTCCGCAAGCAAATATACCATCTTAAACACACCTCTAAGAGCACAGGGAGCTTCCTTTTTCAACAAACTGCACATAAACCACTATAGACAACAGGCAACCTACCAGGGAAGAAACGCATGCTTGTTAGCTGCACAGGACGCTTTGCTTTTGCTCCAAAAGTAACATCAGAAGGTGCTTCCTCTGCATAGCACCCTGCCTTTGCATTGCTGAAACCTTTGGAACATCGTACACTCATTACAGCTCTCTGCTCCTACTGTCGTTCTGGCAGAGCCTCATTACTGCAGTGAATGGCCACAGTAATTGTGATATGTAAAAGACAGACACATGTTTGGGTAGAGCCCTTTTCTCAAGGAGAGCAGGAAT